ACACAACATCTTTGTTTGTATGTGGTGCTGAGGATCGAACCCGGGCCGCACGCATGCCAGGCAAGCGCGCTACCACTTGAGCCACATCCCCAGCCCCATAAATACACATTTGTTAAACACTTTTTGGGAGCCCACAAGTGTGAAAAGTGTTGACTGATATTTCTCCTAGTATCACGAAGTCTTCTTAGGATGGCAAATCATTCCCTCTTCATAAATATTAATGGGGCTCTCCCTGTATGCAATATGTAGGCTGGGCCCCCAGGGGTTACAGGGATGTGTATGCCCTGCCTGTTGGCCTCAGGAAGCTCAGAGTTGCAGAGATAGGAGAAGATAAATGAATGCAGCAACAAAGGGGCAGGGTATTACTGAGAACATTCTGGGACAAAAGGACAGAGGAACATGGAGAAAGACACTTCGGGCCCTCTGACTGGGTGAGCTGACTTTTCCCTCTGGGCCCACTTCCCCTTTTGTAAGACAAGGAGGTCAGAAGGGATAAGCAAACACCAACCCCATGTTCACAGCCCTCCTGGCCTCCATCTTGGGAATTCTTTGAAGAACAAGGGCCGCAGCCCTCCTTTTTCGACTCCTACTCCTACCCCACATTGCTGCTCCCAAGGATTGGCTTGTGCTGGTAAAATTCATCTGGCTCGAGCTCTGAAAGAAATCTATCAGAAGAGGTTTTTCACATACCTTCCCTAAAAGAAAGAGAGAGAGAAGAGTCTGGAGTCCAAAATAACCAGCTTCTACTAGAATCTCCCCGCATCATTTACCAGGGTTCCTGGTGCCTCTCCAAGTCCAGATGAGAAAGAGAAGGGTATGCCCCTTCCCCAGCACCAGAGTTTGAATGATCAAAGTCTAAATGATTAAAGGGTGCTCGGTGATTCTTCTGAGGCTGTTCTCCCACTTAGCAGATGGGAAAAATAAGGCCGAGGTTGGGAGGAACTTTCCCACAGTCCTGCAGTCAACCACAGAGGAGGAGCTCAGGACGGAGTGAGATGAGAACCACCAGGCTGCGTCCTGCTTCAACCAGATGTTGCCCGCTGTAGAACACAAGCATTCTCATCCTGCAGGAGCCAACTGCCAGGGAATCCAAGCCTGACAGAGGCGAGAGTGAAGGAAGAACAGAAATTCTGTAGCCCAGCAAAAGGCCGCAGTCTAGCATCCACCTTTGGGAGAGAATTTGCTTCCAGAGTCCATAAAGAAAGGAATCGACAATGGTGAAGGTAAGACTCAGAACAGGGCACGTGGGTGAACAGAGATGGCAAAAAGAAGCAGAGGTGGGCCAGCACCGAGGCCTTCCCTGTATGGTCACCCCAGAGCTTGTCCCTAGCCAAAGGTCTATCAGCCAAGCTCTCCCCTGGACCACCTCATCCACTCATGAGTGTCCCTGGCTGCCCCACCATCAACTGAAATCCCATTGCCAGTCCCAGACCATCGGAAAAACCCCAGGGACCTCTCAGTGCCTGTAATTCAAAGAACTTCAGAGGTGGGTTTTTTGGTTGGTTGATTCATTTGTTTTGTTTTTGACTTAAAATCTGGAAATCTATTGAGACCCAGAAACTCCCTTCAACAAAACATTCCTGGATTTCTTTTCAAATTTTTCTAACTTCACAGCATCCCGGAAAAGACCAGGTCAAAGATAAACTGAATCAATGTTTCCTGGTCGTGGTGAAATCATCCTTAACTGTTGTTACCTGAAGCAAACATTTTCATGAACAGTGTGGAGCATGTTAGTCGGCCAGGGAACATTTATTTCTTGACAGACCCCCAGTGCTTCCAGCTCAACGGGGGAACAATAATAAAGTCAGACACAGCTTTATTTCTATGGCTTTGTCTTATGTAACTGATGTATTCATATGCCTAATTTCATGTGTTCCTTTCATTTCACGGGCTTGTCTATTCTAACCTTGTAGACACGTACATTTTTCAAACTTCCAGTTATAATAAGTATAAGAAAAACCGAGGTGGGGAGGAACAGAAACTCAACACAGTTTAATCATCACACTAATGCAAAAAAATACATCTGATAGGCTATTGTTTTGGTAAAAAATTATTTGTTTTGTTTCTTTGTTCTGTTGTGGATATCAGCTCTATTGAATTTGGGTTGAAGAATCCAGCACTATTTGGTCTTTTAATGGAGTAGGTTGCAGACAGCCTGTAATCATGTGTTTAATTAAATTTCCTGGTTTATGGGCTGGGGCTGGGGCTCAGTGGTAGAGCGCCTGCCTAGCATGTGTGAGGCACTGGGTTCAATCCTCAGCACCACCTTAAAATAGATAGAGAGATAGATAGATAAAGGTATTTTGTCCATCTACAACTAAATAAAAAAAATCCTGGTTCCTGAATCAGAAGTTATCATAAGAGATTAAGAAGAGCTAATCAGGAAACCTGATCATAATTGTTTTTACCAAATATAAGCTGTGAGCATGACAGAGAGAGGACATGCCTGCTGGTGATGATAAGAAAGAACATAAGGACAAAACGAGGAACATGTGGCATTAAATAGGAGGAGTGGCAGCCCACTCTGGGGCTCCCCATTTTAAGGGCTGTTGGCAAACAGGGGTAGGTCCAAATAGCTGTAGTTGGCTGGCTGGATTGATTCACTTCTCCTACATCATCCTGCTCTAGGGGTGGCCATCAGGATATGAGGACCTTGTCATCTCATTCACAGCTAAAAGCCGGAGTGTGCTGATGGCCTACCCTGGTACAAGTGTTCAATAAATGTGGGGGCAGGGGGAGTAAACAATAATGTCTGCAGCAACCGCAGCCCACCCTGCATCCCCTCACCCCTCCGTGGAGCCTCGCCTTCCCCCACCTTGGACTCTCCAGTGCCTTGTCTCCCAACCTGCTCCCAGGAGAGACTCCTCCTCATCGTCAGACGGAAAGATAGGTCACCATGACTTATAGACTAGTCTCTTGATAAACCAATGTCCAGAATTAAGAGACTGAAGAACAGGCTGGTGTGTTGGGCTGGTTTAAAGAATCAGGTGGCTCCTACCTACTCCCCAGGCCAAGAGGTGGTCAGATACTTGGAGGCAAGTCTCCGGGGATTCAACTGTACTCTACCATCTTTGACACAGAATGGCCCTTTAATTATCCAGTCCTCCTGACCATCAGTCCTTGCCTCTTTGGCAGGAGCCACAGGCTCTAGAGACTGTGAGACCTGTCAGGCCACTTCAATGTCAAGAGTGTGACAGCTGGAAGACTGGGGCAAAACTGAAGAATGAAAGTCATTCTCTGCCTCTGAGAACAAGGGGAACAGCCATGGATAAGAAGAAAGCCTACTGAGGCGCCAACATCTCATTTCCCTGTGTTTGCTTTCTGGTTCCTCATTGTGGTCCCATGCTCTGACCTCCGATCTAAGGCCATTTTTAGAACAGAAAAAATAAATCTATTCCGTAGAGACGAGTAGTTCCCAAAAGGTTTTATTTCCTTTCTGAATCAGGTTCAGCCTCACAGAGCTGCACTTTCAATTTCTGTAGCCGTACTGTTCCCTGACCACTCAGAGGTCCTCCAGAGATGCCCCCCTCTATTCCAAGAGCCCCCAAAATGATGTCGAGTGACTACAAATAAGTTTTTGGTACTTTCCAAAATTAAACTATTTCCTTTGGTAAATTTCCAGCGAATGAGCTCACTAATCTGAAAACAGGATGTGGCACATGAAGAGTGAGGTCAGACTGCCTGCCTTTCACTTATACTAGCTTAGGGCAGAGAGGGAGGGCCGGCAGGAGAGAAGTGGGACCAGAGAATGGCTCCTATAGGCCCCACATCCTTAAGCAACTCCATTTCAGGGACTGGACTGAGAATCGATGAATCTTTAAGTCAGAGATGGAAGGAACTTTTTGAATTCTTTGGTCTTAGAAAAGGCCACTTGTGGTCAGCCTCCTACAGGATTATCTCCAGGAGGCTCCTGGGACCTCTGTCCTCAAGCAGGTATCTCCCTTCCAGGTGGAACCCAGAGGTCCTCCTGTGCCAGAGCCTCTCTGCTTCCATCTGTGCTGCAGCCCCAGCCTGTCTGCCTGAAACTGGAAGACAGCAGCTCAGCCTCTAATGGGTGGGAGACTTACATACACCCCAGGTTAAGAGAAAAGCAGAAGGTTGTTCCCAGTTCTAAAACTCCACCTTAGAGTCAAGACAAAACAAACAAACAAAACAGGGATCATAACACACAAAGGGAGTTTCATGGGTGTCCCTAGGAAGGTCAAACAAAATCAGCAACGTGGGCGTCCTCCTCCACCCTGAGCAGTCTGGTCCGCAGGAATTAGAGGTCTGATAAAAGAGGAGACCTGTCAAATCAGTGATTCGCAAACAATATGTTTTTTACCCTTTAAACTCATATTCTACACCAACGCTAATTTCCATAACTTTTTGATTCATGTACATAAATTCATGGGGAACAAGTAGCCGTGGGTGTGTGGGTGTGCGTGCACACCCGCTGTGTTTGGATTAAAAAGCAGAAACGATTCCTCCATACAACCAGTTTTGTAGATGCGCAGCGCCTAAGGGCGGGCTGCGTCCTGATTGCGGCCACTGTCTAAACTTGGGCGAGCCTGGCAGTGCCCTGGGCTCTTTGCAGGAATCCACGAGCCGGTGAGACTCGGGGGGCGGGAATTCCCGCCGGCGAGGGGCCGCGGCGGGTCCAGATCCCCGGGGTGGGCTGGTTTCCGCGGCGGGCGCTGCACTATTAAGTAAGTGCCATCACTGCACCGGGCTGGCACGCGGCGCGCGGAGGAGGGGACTGACTACTGCCAACGGGAGCTCGGTGCCCGCCGCCGGCCTCAGTTTCCCCATTCGGGGAGCGTCCGCCCCGCCCCCGGAGCGAGCGGGGGCTGTGGGGACCGCGGCTTCCGCCGGCCTGGCCACGTCCTGGGCCGCCCACCGGAAGCTCCCGGCTGGTGGCGGGGAGGTCGTGGCGACGCGGAGGTTGGTTGCCTTCCCCCCCCCAGCCCGGGACCGCGGGGTGGCTCCGGCCCCGCCAGCCGCGCACGCCCCAGCTTGCGCTCGCACGGGCGGGGCTCCCCAAGTGCCGGCCTCGCGGCGCCGGACCCTGGTACCCGCGCTGCCAAGCCGGTCCCCGACTCACGGTCCCGGCCCTTCCTGCGGGCGCCTGGGGTACCCCTGGGGCCCGTTCGTCCTGAAACAGACACGGGCTGGTGTTTCTGCAGAGCTCTGCGCGCATCTGAAATTGTGACTGTGGTGAAACGACAGTCACCTGCCCTGGGGGGCGTATGGGCAGGGCTGGGGGCGACAGACTGGCCACCGGCATCGCGGAGCAGGGCCGCAGGGGCTGGGTCCGGGACGGCGGGACGCGATGGGATCGAAAGCCCCGCGCCCGAGGGTGGCCACTGAAACTTGCCAAGGAAAGCCGAGTCTGGGCCCAGCGCGCCCCAGGACCAGTGGGGAAGATTGGGGCACGTGACGCTGGGGACTCCGCGCGCGCGGTTCTCCGTGGGTGGATCCACGGAGAAGAATCGATGGAGGTTCAAGGTGGTAGGGAAAGTGGGCAAGGAGACCCACGGAGAGCAGCCAGAGACGCAGGAAGGACTCCATCCAAAGGGGTGCGGGAAGCCAGGAAGGAAAGGATTCCGGAAGGAAGGGCCAGAGCTGTCGGTAATCTTGGGGAAATGGTTCCCAGGAGACTCAAGCACCTGTGTAGACAGTCTTTTCTAGAAGGTCTGCCGAGAGGGGAGAAAAAATAGTTGTGAGAGGAGGATTTGGAATGAAGGTTAACAATTTTAAAGCACATGTGATTAGAGCAAAGCTCTGGGCTCGGGCATGCCCTGGAAGGTAGCTGAACAGAGGACCTTGTGCTTGCTAACCTCTATTAACCTGCGCTTATTAACCCGAGTCACTGATTTACCTCTCCCCGTTCGCTCATCTGTAAGATGAGGATAATGGTGATAATATGTGCCTCTTGGGGCGGGGGGGCATGTAGAAATTAAATGAGATGGTGTATGTAAAATACTTAACAGTGCTAAAAAGTAATGCCTTTATTTATTTTTAAACTTATTAGAGCCGCTTGGGCATATTTTGATGCTGTTGGGATGGAGCATCTAGAGGGAGTGGATGACAACTGGCCTGTCAGAGGGGACAGAAAGGGATGGAAGCTGCATGGAGAGATAAGGCTTGGGTTCCTCTTCTATCCCAAACCAAGGGAAGGAGGGGCAGGTGGGAATGGAGGAAGTTTGCATGTTGGGGCATGCAGTTAAATGTCTGATAATTTGAACTAGAGTGGTGGGCTGAGAGTGCTGGGCAGGCTCAGGTGAGGATGGAAGTCCTGATCTACACTGCAGCCATAGGACACAGTGACCTCTTTGCCAACAGCCCCTGGAAGCCCAGGAAAGGTGGGCAGTTGGGTTTATTGAGGGCAGGATGACAACATCCAACCTGCCTTGCCCACTTGGGAGGCTCAGATTAAGTTGACAGATGTAAAAATACTCTGTGTAATTTACCATTTTCATCTTCTTTCCCGATTTTGAGGAGTCAAGGGGCTATGGCCATAATATGAGTAAAATGTCAAAGCCTTCTGAGCACATCACTTGGACCATGAACTGTGTTCTACTCTCACCCACCATCTCATTCACTCATCATGAACAGTTGGGTGAAGCGGTATCACTATCCCCATTTTTATAGATGCAGAAACTAAGGTTCAGGGAAGTAAAGCCCTTGTGTAAGGACTCTTAGCTAGTAAGTGGTAGATCCAGGATCCCAACTCAGGTCTGTCTGACCTCAAAGCCCCCGACTGGAAATCACTTTGAATATGTGCAGAACCCCAGTGGCAACTCAGTGGAATAGACAGATGTGCAAGGGTCATCTTTTCCATTGATCATCAGGGGGAGCTCGGCTTGGAGGCTCAACCCAGCTGCCTTGCTTATGACTCTTCTGTGGCTGAAGAACTCAGACCCTGGAGACCCATAGCCCTGGTGCGAATCCCACTCCACCACTAGAGACTCTGTGACTCCAGACCAAGCATCTTGCTTCTCTGAACCTGTGTGTGACTGCAGAGGCATTCCCAGCAGGTTGTTGTATGGATTGGAAGGGAGCAGACAGTAGACGCCAGGAGCACGGTTCCCACGGTCCACTTTTCCTGCAAATATGTCTACATTGGCTACTGAGCCCCACTCCCTAAGATCTTTATTTGTTTAGTGCTTTCTTCTCAGAGCAGGGAAGTGGTGGCGCCTGACCCGAGCATGTAGCCACCTATGACTTCCTGAGTGGGGCTGTGGGGAGAGGGCCCAGCGGAGTCTGAGGTCCTAAGGCCTTGGACTTCAAAGAAGGGGAGGGCTTTGTTTGTCACTGTTGTGACTGGTGCAACATGCCACCGGCAGGGTTGGGCTGTCAGAAGAATTTCTGCTCCCTCTTCTAGGCTTAGTCACAGAGTTGCCGAATCCTAAAGCCCAGAGACAGACCACCAGTTGAAACTTGCTTTTTTTTTTTTTTAAACAGATGGGGTAACCAAGACCTACAGTGAGAAAGTGACTTTTCCCTGAGGTCACCCAGGTAAAAGTGACAGGGCAGAGCTAAAGGACCTTGAACCTGAATTTGGGACCAGCCTCCAGGACCCTGGGGATTTCCACCAGAAGGTGAGCATCCCACTGAGAATTTTACACTGCTCAGAGGTCCCAGGGGACAAGACAAGTGGCCAGCTGTGGCTTCTACCGATATGCCCCAGGGAGGAGGCAGAGGAAGCCAGCAGCAGCCTGCGGTTCTCAGGGGAACTCTGGCTCCTGAAAGTCTGTGACATGCTCCTTTTTCTCTGACTCGTTCTCTTGCTCTTTCTCACTCTAAAAAATGACTGGACACTCCTGAAGCCTTTGGTCACCATACAGGGGATTTTTCTCACCACGAAGGGTAATTCCTGCTCCATCCCTGCTGTGACTCAGCTGTGACGTTGAACTACACACAGCCAGAGAGGAAAAGATCAAATCACCAGAGACTCTGCTCACCAGAGAGGTGGCCGAGGCCAGAACCCTCCTCTCCTCTCCCCACGGACTCCACAGGGCTGCCTTCTGGCCTGGAGCAGCTTGCACGGCCCCCAAGATGGCCTCCAACTCGGCCAGCAGCCCCCACCAGGCCCCTGATGAGAATGAGTTTCCCTTCGGGTGCCCTCGCACTGTCTGCCAGGACCCACCAGAACCCAGGGCCCTCTGCTGCACAGCCTGTCTCTCTGAGAACCTGAGGTGAGGGGACAAGAAACAGGGGGTGGGCAGGACGAAGGTGTTGGGGAGGGACCCCTGATGGAAGGGAGGCTGAGAGGAGCCAGGGACGTGGGACAAGTGACTGTACCTCTCTGGGCCTCAGGGTCCACACCCTTTTCTCCTTGATGCTGCCCCTGTGGCTGTGGATAGAAGGAGAAGTAGCCACAGAAAGATTTCAGCCCCACAGTGTCCACACTCCAGACCCACCTCTGCACTCACTGTGTGGCCCGGGGCAAACTGCCGGTGTCTCTGAGCCCCAACTTTCTTGTCTGTAAAGCAGTTTTCTGCCTTGCAGAATTGTTACAAGACCTAATGAACAATACTCAAAAAAAGCTCTTCTAATATTGAGTATTCAGCTCCTTGGTGAATGACAAATGGTTCAACAAATATATCTCAGTACTTGGCTGGAAACCCTTTAAAGGGGACAAAGATAAAAATATGTATCTATGTAGACATTTATATTTAAAATTTGAACAACTCAGAAGTGTATGACTTCAGTGAAACATCAGCATCTTGCCTTAAGCAACTGTTATGCACCTGCTGTATGCCAAGTACTCTTTCCTTATGTCCTCAGGACAACCTCGAGGGGTGAGTACTATTATAATTCTGTTTTACAAGTGAGGACCCTGAAGCCTTGTAGAGAGATGAGGTCAGCTTGCCCCAGGTCAGTTTCCTGGCATAAATGTGCTGTCTCGAGAAGCCATATACTATGGCCATGACCTTTTCTTTGGGGCTTTTCAGCTTAAGGTGGGAAACCTGAATCAAGCTGAATGAAAATTTCAAATGTGACAGAGAAGAGGGAGGCAGGAGGTGTGGGAAGGGGGCAGAAGGTCCCGAGAGTGGAAAGGGCAGGTGGGGGAGGGAAAGGCACAAAGCCCCTGAGCACAAAGAGGCTTCTGTCCTGCTCAGAACTCATTCCACCCTTGGCCCATCCACAGGCCTCCAAGGCCTCAATTTTCTCACCTGTAAAACGGGTAAAGTCAGTAAAAATCACCTGGGGACTTCATAAAGACACAGGTGCCCATGTGCGACCCAAGTCAGAATCGGACACCCTGTCCTAACTCCATGCTAGATGATAACTGAGACCCCCTTCTTGTTCTAATAGGCCATGATCATCTGTAATCACCAGATATAAGAAACCAAAACGCAATAGAAGGTGCTGAGAAGAGTGACTTAATTACATGTCCTCAGTCCCTGTCTGAATTCCCAGAGCCAGTTATGTTTTGGAATTCAGAATTTTTTCACATTTTAGAAAATCAAGTCAGCGTATTATGTAATTCTTCCAGCAGGGATAGGGGGATTACCCTGTAATGAAGCACTTTAATGTTTCTACAGTGAAACATACAAGTAGTCACATCAAGTGGGACCAGCAAGGGTCAGTTCAGGTCAGGTTTGGCTGCCAAAGAATTTTCCCACAAACCACAGAAAAACATGGATGCCCCAGGCTTTGGAGGTTTGAAAATGGCGGCTCCAGGATTCTGGACCTGTGTGACCGCTGCTGTCAGCCACCATGCTGGGCAAGGCCTGGGCTTTTAGAGCTGCCAGCGGAGTGGGTGGTGCAGGGAGTGGACGCCACACTCAGGGCATTTGCTCATGTCTCCCCAGAAACAGCCCAGATGGGATCTGTCCCAAATGCAGAGGGGACAACCTCCAATCTGAAAGCCCAAGGAGCCTTCTGACTCAGGAGAAGGTATGTTGGCACAGCCAGGAAAGAGCATCTGTCTGTTCTCTTGATTTGTTCAGGTTGAGGCCAGCTGCCCAGATATCCCCTGACAGGTGCACCCTCTTTTACCTTGAGTCTGGACTGAATTCACTTTATGAGCAGCGAGGAGATTGGCGTTCACCGTGGGGAAGCGTCTTCCCCAGAGCCACCTGGCTGGTCTGTGATAGAGTTAGGCTGAGAACCACGGTCTAGACCAGCCGTCCACAAATTGTGGCTCCGGTGCCAAATCCGGCCACCACCTGTTTTTGTACAGCTCAAAAGCAGAGAATGATTTTTATATTTTTAGGTGGGTGAAAAAAAAAATCAGAAGAAGAATAGTATTGGGGGATCCATGAAAAGGACATGAAATTCAAACCACTGTGTCCATAAAGTTTTATTGTCCATAAATAAAGTCACACCTACCCATTTACATATTATCTGTGGCTGCTTTCTCCTTGCAATGGCAGAGTACTTTCCACAAGACTTCAAAGCCCAAAATACTTACTCTGAGGTTCTAATGGAATAAATTAGCCAGCCTCCTGATGCAGGGATAGACCATTATCAGCCCCCTCTTAGGCTCTGCCAAGCTGTGCATCTAGAAGTAAGAGACACCTTTAAAATGTGAGGGGCGAGGAGATGTTCTCAGACACCACCATCTAGAACTCTGCCCCTGCAAACTAGTAGAACTCTCCTGGGTACCTGCACAGCCCAGAAGTTTCCACATCCCATCCACTGGTTTATGAAAAAAATTTTTTTAAATAAGCATAGTGGGCTGAGGTTGTAGCTCAGTTGGTAGAGCACTTGCCTAGCACATGTGAGGCACTGGGTTTTATCCTCAGCACCACATAAAAATTAAAAAAAAAAAAAGGTATTGTGCCCATCTGCTATAAAAATATTTTTTTAAAAAAATAAGCATAGTGAATTTTTATAAAGCTAAATTATCTCCATTTATAGAATCAACACTACTCTGAGACTGTGTCCTTCCTGGACATGTCTTTGTATAAACAAAATTCAATAGTAGATGATAGTTTTTGGTAAAACCTTTACCAGGTACAATAAAAAGATAGCAATCTTTATGTTAACGTAATCTCCCAAGTAAAGCAACAAAACTCTTGTGGGCCTGTGAATGCAAACAGGTAGGAATCACTGCTCAAAATCCAACCCCCTCATTTATTTGTGAGACCCAAGGCCCACTGGGGAGTCTCAGTGGCCATCCTCACTGCCCCTCTATGGGACAGACGTCTGGCTGCTTTTAGACAAAGCTCCCTTCTGTGGAGATCAGGAGGCTGGCATTTGAAGATGGTTTTGGATCATTCACTGCATGGCTGGAGGCAATTCCCAGGCGCTGTTTCTTCCTCTGTAAAGTGAAGATGTCAGGTTGGTTCTGCGGGGCCTTTGCAGTATCTGTGATGTCCAGGCTATGGGTCAGCAGCTGCCTGGGAGCTTTTCTTTGCATTTGCTGAGCCAAAGGCTGGTGCGTCTCCCTTCTCTGTGCTGGTTGGTTCCTGATGTTCAGAAAGTTCAGGGGAGATTCCTGCCCTACCACGCTCTGGCTTGGAGGGCTTTCCCGAACCTTCCTCAGCAGCCCTCCTGGGGCAGGATCAGGTACACTTTCTTGGGCCGTGTAGGAAGGATTAATTTGAACCACTGACCCATGGGAGAACTTCTTGAGCCTCCCGTTTGACTGTCGTGCTGGAGAGAGGCTTAGACTCTGGGGACTCCACGGGCCCTGTACAACCCAGTATGCAACTTGCTGCCTTGAACTAAATGGCGCGACGTTTGGGGTGGAGCGACGGGTGTTCCAACAGGCTCTGGGCATAGGGGCGAAGGCCTGTTAGATGCAGGCAGACCCCCCTCCCTTCTGGCTTCCCCACCCAGCACAGTCATCTCTGCCCTGCTGAGAAGGAGCTGGTGGGGCTGAGTCAGTGGGCTAATCACCTGCACAAAGCCACAGAGTGGAAAGACGAGGGACTCCTCTGGCTCCTGCCCCTGATGGGAATTTGGGGGGACTTTTGACCAAGGGAAAGCAGGTGGTTATCAGTGGATACTTTGCATCTGTGGTGATGCCTAAGTTGGACTGTGTATCTGGGGGAAGCCAAAAAGTGGAGACAGGGTAGAGAGACTGGGCTGGAGACCAGGGGAGCGAGGCCCAAAGGTGCCCACCCCTGCAAACACGCCGTCCACTTATCAGCTTGTCTGCATCCTCTGACTTATTAGATTAATACCTCCCTCAGAGGGGCCCGGAGTCCTGCACCGGCACCTGGTGTAAGTCACACGTATTAGAGGGTTAACGTGACCTGGTTAGAGGCTTGGTTCTTGCCTGGAGTCATCTATCTGAAGAAATAACAATGAAGGATGAACCAGTGAGTGGAAAAGAACTTTGTGTGCCAAACCCCCACGGTGGGAGTGTTTCTCTCGCTCCCTTCCCTCTCTGACCCATTCACGAAGGTCTAAAGCAAGCTGGCATCTGATGCCAGGGGCTCACAATAGTGCCTAACTTTTTCTAGAGTCTGAAGATGGTAGGCATTTGTGCTGTCTAGTTCAATGTCCACCCCGTGCTGGACCCCTGCCGTGAGGCTTCATGTCCTTCCAAAGACAGGGAGCTCGTTACTCTGTGAAACCAGTGTCCACGCTGGGGGACTCTGACAACTGCAGTGATTTTTTTCTTTACTTATGCTGAGCTAAAATCTGTCTCCTGTGAGGGCCACAAAAGGTAAGTCAGCCTCCTGTCCCCAGGGCCCTTCCTGATCTGGGGTAGACACACACCACATCCCTGTTGCACCTGTATGCCTCTGGGGCAAATGTCCTCCATCTGTGTCCCCTGAAGTGTGATGCCTGGACATGAACCCCTGACAGTTTACATCTATAAGCTCACTGACCGACGGGCATCCTGTGTGGTGGACGGTGGTGGTGTCCCTACTTTACCGATAGGTAATATATCAAGGCCCAGGGAGGAAGAGATTTTGGCATCTGGACCAACATCACAAAGCAAGAGGGAGGCAAAGCCAGACTCCAACTCGTGCTCCCGCCTCCTAGCCTGGAGGCATCTTCTCTATGCGGTCTCCAAATGGGGGCTGACCCATACCCCCAAAATGTGTTGTGCGTGCGTCAGCCTTAAGTGCTAGATCCCACCGAGTGCTGTGGAGGACAGGATTGACTAGGGCCACCTTCAACCAGGAGAATCAGGCAGGGCTTCCTAGAGCTGAGGACAGCAGAGAGGGAACTGGCCCAGTTATAGGGGAAGGGCAGGAACAGGCAGCATCAGACAGCCAAGTCCCCCTGGAGCTAGGGTGTCTCCCGGTCAGCACCAGCTGAGGCTGAGCAGAAACACACACACACACACACACACACCCAGCCCCGGGCCTCCAGATCCTCGGCCAGTCTCTGTGCCCAGTCTAGTATGGTGGGCAGCACCTGGCACATGCAGAGCCTCCTTGTTCCACACAGTGGCTGCCAGAGGTGGCCCTTCAGCTCCTGGCACCCTCCTAACACATTCTTTGGGGGTTCCCAGGTCCCTGAGTGTGGGCCTCCCACGGGGACCTTCTGTGACCCGATCACAAAGGGCCCGGGTAGCCAGGCTGGTGGGGAATACCCACACCCAGAGGTTCCTCAGACACAGAGGGCACGTGCTCCCCGGGGGCTGGCATGTTGTTTTCTCTCTTTCTGTTTCCTCCTCAGAGGAAATTCCTCTGCCAACTTTATTTTGAGCAATTTGCAAGCAGCGAGGCCATTCACGTAGGGTCCACTTGTGGCTCCAGGCATACCCTGGGGTTGGCCTGGGACTGATCCCCTGTTATTCCTCTGCAACCTTCTGTGCCACTGGTCCCCGCCTTCAGGTGAGGTGAAGGCTCCGTGATGGGGAGAAAGGACCCTGGACGTGGCCCTCAGGCTCTGGGCTGTACCTCACCTGGCCCTGTTGCCTCCTGTGAGTCCCTGACTCCCGCCCCCGTCCTCCTCAGAGCCCTGTCCCTCTCGCAGTGCTTAGGCCCCCAGAGCTACACAGCTCTGGGAGAGCAGCACAGCCTCGCCAAGGCTTGGAACTGGGGGAGAGAAAACCCAGACTCAGCTGGCGGCTCAGCCCAGTCTCAGTTGGTGAGGCGGCAGCTCATCCAGCCCCGCCTGCCGCCAAGGACGGTGCTGGGACCCACGAGGCAGCATGCAGAAATGCCTCGGTCCTCTGTCATTGCAGGACGTTCTGGGTACGCACACATCTAGGGACGTTCTTACCCATCTGAAGAAATCTGATAGAGTTTCATAGAATTAGTTGTCACAAGCTTGAGTCGTGGGGGTTAAAAGAGATGCATGCGCTACTGGACTGGGTAGAGGCCGGTCATCTGCAGGAAGAATGTTAATACCAGTCATGCTACTGCTAATGGCTCACATTTATTGAACGTGGTATCAGGAGAAAAATGTGCCAGGGATGTCCGCATCATAATCCCTGAACCTGTCGATGGTGCTCGTGGCTGTTCTCTACTAGGGCCGCCTTAACTAAGCGCCAAGACGGGGTGGGCAGACCCTGGGCATTTGTTCTCTGAGTTCTGGAGGCTGTGAGGTTCCAGACAAGGTGCTGGCGGGGCTGGATTCCTCCGTGGCCCCCTCTGGTTTGTAGGTGGCCATCTTTACTTGGTCTTCTGCGTCTAAATGTCTCCTTCTTGTAAGGGTACGAGTCCGATGACTGCACGCATAATGACCTCATTTTAGCCGGTGGCCCTGTCTCCACTGTCTGACATGCTGGGGGGGCTAGAACCCCAACATGTGAATGGCGGGGGCCCCTCAGCTCATGGCAGTGGCAAAAGAAGGCTGTGGCTGTGATTAGATGCAGGATTCGAGGTGGGGCAATTACCCCGGGCTCCCTGCGTGATCACAGGGGTCTTCCCAAGAGGGCGATGAGAGTCAGCAAGCCATGCTGGGCACCAGCTGTGAAGGTGAGGGAGGGGACCCCAAGCTACGGCTTGAAGCTATGGCAGCTGCTAGAAGCTAAAAAAAAGAAGAAAATAGATTCCCCACCACCATATCCAGAGGAAACGCAGTCCTGCCATCACCTCAGTGTTAGGACTTCTGGCCTCCAGAACTGTAAGATAATAAATTTGTGTTGTTTTAAACCATTAAACACTCCCAGAATTATTTTGCAAGAAATAACTGATGCTAGCACACATATGTAGTGTCTCATTTAATCTTCACAATGACTCTAAAGGCGGGCACTGTCATCCCCATGTGACAGATGGGGAAACTAAGACAGAGAAGTTAATGACTCTCCCAGGGCCACCTGGCTAGCATGTGAAGGGACAGAAATTTTGTGTGCTGCAAACCCCAATCCACACCCCTCAGCCCTTACTCTCTGAGGAGGGAGTGATGGCTGATGAGACAGGGCAGCCTGGCTAATCTCTGAGGCCCCTCGAGTCACCCTGCCCCTCCTCCTCCTCCAGGATTCGACTGGTCACAGCCCACACCTGTACACACACGTCATAGTGCCACCCTGATGTCTGCTTGGCGTTTTACCCCAAGCTGGCTTCCCTGTTCATCCACACCATAAGGGCTCTGCCACAGAAGGACACACCTCACTCAGAGGACGCTTCAGATTCCACTGCTAGCATGGCCACTGTCACCTTCTTACCCCTCTGATGACTCACTCCAAGCTTCAACCTTAGAACTGCAGAGGCTTTGAATCGTGGACGTGTGGGACTCGCAGACCCCGAGATCCCCCAGGTCGTGTGCCCAGCTCCCGGGTCCCTCGGCATCAGGCTCCTGCTTCCCACCTGTCATCAAAGGGACCTGTGAGGAGAGGGGGGCTCTGTTGCCCCTGACTCCCCAGAGCCAGTGTCTCCCTGCCAAGGCCGCTCTCTGCCTGTCTCCCAAGAAGCATCTGTTTTCTTTCTTTGTTTTTGGCTGGGAACAACTTGTCCCTGAAGCCCAGGACGGTGGGGCAGGGTGGGCCCCGACTGGTGGTGCATGAGTCCCAGGCCAGCTGCTCATGACGCCCACGGCCCTCTGCTTATTTTCCTCGTGCAGAGGGATGACTAGTGTCCTCCTCTGTTCTTCCAGATCCCCTTTCACTGTGCCCCACAAACTCGTTCCTTCGAATCAAAATAATAAAGCTGTTGAAAAGTTGAGCTATTATTTACATGCAGTCAGATTTACTTGTTTTAAGTATACAGTTTGATGAATCCTGGTTGAAGCATAACACCATCTTAACGGTAGTTCTGCCCTGGAAAAAGCTGTCCGTGTCCTTGCGCCGTCTCCTCCCAGCTTGGATCAGCAGCCCATCTAATTTCTACCACTGTAGCCTTGTTTTTTCTAGAATCCCTAAGAATGGAATCAAGGGCCGGGGGTGGGGGGGCATGCACCTGTAATCCCAGCCACTTGGGAGGCTGAGGCAGGAGGATCACAGGTTGGAGGCCAGCTTTGGCAACTTAGCAAGATACTGTCTCAAAAAACTGAAAGGACTCGGCAGGTAGCTCAGGGGCTGACCACCCTGGGTTCAATCCCTAATATCAGGGGGAAAAAAAAGAGTAGAATGGTATGTCATCTTTTGTGTGACTTCTTTCATTTAGCGTAATGTTTCAGGGTTCGCCCATGTCGTCTCCTGTTACTATTTAATTCCACCTGGTGGATGAGCGGTGTTCTGTAGTATGGATGCACATTTTATTTATCTGTTCACCACTTGGTTACATAGATTGCTCACAGTTTAGGGCTGTTCTGAGCAGAGCTATCAAGAACATTCTTGGGCTGGACATAAGTTATCTTAGAAGGATGGTTCAGCCTGATAAGATGCCTCCACGGTGTCTGAACCCAGCAGCACGAGAAAATTCTCCTGCTTCCCTTCCTTGCCAAGACTCGATCTCGTCACAGCTTAATTTCATCTGCTCTAGCAGGTGGGGAGTGGCATTTCACTGTGGTTATAATTCGCCTTCTCTGATGACTGGTGACACAGAGCGTCTTTTCACAGGCTGATTCGTCATTCATACGTCTTCTTTGGTGAAGTAGCCATTGAGTATTTTGCCCCCAGACCAGTGGGGGCGACCACACAGTGATGAGCACAGAGCCGTCCGTGTGCAAGGGGTCCTGGTGCTGCTGAAGATGACAGCAGGGGCCCTGGTCCTGTTTTGAAGGAAGGTCATAAAAGGGCTGCGGCTCAGAGGGTGGAAAGGAGTTGTCCAGGCAGAAGGAACAGCATGTGCAAAGTCATGTGCCCAGCCCACCTCCTGCCCTGATGGAGCTTGGTGCTGTACTGAGAGCCCTAAGGGTGACCACAGGGATCCCCATAAAATGTCCTCAGTGACACCATTATTATTTCCAGGTTCACCCTGAGGTGGCTAAGGCTGGAGTCGGGTGTCCCTTTGCAGCTATTGGCTGTTCCTTCAAGGTAAGCATCTGCGTGTGTCCACTGTGGTCGTGTCCTCTGGGTCTCCCTTCTTGAACCCCTCTGACATTTTCCTATAACATCAAGCTGCTCCTCTGGATGTCCCTTACACCAGTGACTTTCCAAATGACAGGTCTCTCTGTTAAGTCATCATAGTGCTCAGGGAAGTTCTTCTTAATGTCTCACCTAAGCCTTGCTGCAGGTCATGAAAGTGACCCCCACGCCCCTCTCCATGGTCCTGACTTGGGATTGTGTGGCAGGGAAGGATGGCTCTGTAGAGGCTGGGAGGCATGTGGTTCACCATGGGCGCGTCTGGTGCCGGGTCCTCCTGAATCCCTCCCACGGCACAGAGAGCCACTCCCCTGGGCTGGGGAAATGGGTCTGACTTCCTGGGTGGCCTTTGATGCCAGGACCCTCCTGGCCCATCCGCCCCTCTCCAGTGATGGCCTCTGCTGTTCTGCAGGGGAGCCCGCAGGCCGTGCAGGAGCACGAGGCCTCCTCCTACGCCAGCCACCTGAGCCTGCTGCTGGGGTTCATGAAGCACTGCAAGGCCCAGCTGGGCCCTGGCCTGGGCTCTGGGCCCATGGCCCTGGAGCAGAACCTGTCAGACCTGCAGCTGCAGGCGGCCGTGGAGGTGGCGGGGGACCTGGAGGTGGACTGCTACCGCGCCCCCTGCTCCGAGAGCCAGGAGGAGCTGGCCCTGCAGCACTTCCTGAAGGAGAAGCTGCTGGCCGAGCTGGAGGAGAAGCTGCGTGTGTTCGAGAACATCGTGGCCGTCCTCAACAAGGAGGTGGAGGCCTCCCACCTGGCCCTGGCCGCCTCCCTCCACCAGAGCCAGCTGGACCGTGAGCACATCCTGAGCCTGGAGCAGAGGGTGAGCATGAGAGGCCCTCAGGGTCAGCTCAGGGAGGCCCCTGCCACCCGTCACCAGAGCACCAGGCCGGCCTCCCCCTAACATTCACAGAGCAGAGGCGCCCCATCTCCTGGGCCCCAGGACCTTCCAGGCAGAGCCCGGGGTCAGAAGCCCCAGTCAAGGTCAACCCCGACCCCATCCAGTGCTTCAGTTCCTTTGCTGAGCTGCTCCTGGGATAGGGCGCTCCCTCCCGCTCCGGGCAGCTCATTCTGTTGCTGGACACTTTTCACTATTAGAAAGTTCTTTCTTCTACTAAGCTCATGTCTCTCTGTCTCCCCTGCACTGTTCCTAGCCCTGGCCCCCAGGGTCCACAAAACAAGTTCAGGTTCAAGTCCCTTCAGAGATGGATAGTCAGTGACTACGTCCTAACCAGCCTTTCCTTCCTTAGGCCAAATGCCCAGGGTCTCTCCTGTCCTTCAGAGCCTGTTGTTTCCTGTGGTCTTCATATGCATGGGCTCAGTCTCTAAAGGATCGTATTTGCTTGGAGCCAATATAATGGTCCCAGGTCCCAAATATAGTGATCCCAGGTCCCAGACTGACTCCAGATAATCCACCCGTCTGTCTCCTCCTTTATTCCAGAGCTTATACTTTTCCTGTCATATCCGGTCACTATGCTAATGTTGCTTTTTATTTTGTAGCAACACTGCATCATTGTCTCATACAGAAGGAGGCCTGGATTTTAGTTTTGGCTCCACTACTAACTTACAGAGTAGCTCTAAGCAAGTCACTTTCTCAGAACCTCAGCTTCCCCATCAGTAAAATTAGGGGTTAAATCTTCCTTAAGGGCTCTCACTTCAGTTCCTGGCTCCCTCACCTGAGGATAGTTTTGTTCTTTCAGATTTCGTTGGGAAATCCCACTAGCAAGGCTGGGCACTGCTTAGAGTGGCCAAACAAAGCCTTTATTTATGAAACTTGCCGCAGGGAAAAGGTACATCTCCTGAGGACCCTGTCTTCTCCCCAGCAAACTTCCTGGCTGTCCTTTTACAGGCTGGCCCCCTGCCAAATAGGAACACGGATGAAGTGAGCCTAGGCCCAGCTGGTCGGAAAGGCAGGCCATCAGGCCTCCCAGACCACGGTCAGAGCCTTGTGAGAAAGTGGAGGAGAGGCCAGCTGAGCGAGGGCCAGGGGCGAGGGCCTCCCCAGGAGGGGCCAGGGGAGCTGCTTCCTGATGGATGACTCACAAAGGAAGGGAAAGGGACTCCTGGCAGGAGACGTGCCAGTGCAGATGTGTGTGCCCCGGGGGGTGGGGAGCAGGACCGCAGGTCAGGGGCATGTCCACTCCACATCCCGCCATCCCCACCTCGTCCCCATGCCGGGCCCGGTGTCCCTGCCTGACTGGGCTTCCTGCAGGTGGTGGAGCTGCAGCAGACCCTGGCCCAGAAAGACCAGGCTCTGGGCAAACTGGAGCAGAGCCTGCGCCTCATGGAGGAGGCCTCCTACGACGGCACCTTCCTGTGGAAGGTCACCAACGTCGCCAGGCGGTGCCATGAGTCCGCGTGTGGCAGGACCATCAGCCTCTTCTCCCCAGGTAACAGGGCACAGTGACCAGGTGGGCAGGAGCCAGTGCTGAGACAGTCCGCGGGGCCTGTTAGGCCAGGGCCTGGGATCATGCTGAGACCGGGGACAGTGGGCATGCTGTGCCCTGCCCTCTGGCCCTCAGCCACACCCAGCAGTCAGTGCGTTCTGAAAATAGGAATAAACATTGTTAACCCAGAGGCTCTCTGTGTGAAAGAAGGTGCAACGTGAGCCGCAGTCCGTGCAAATGAGGGGGATACTGTGGGACCCACCCACGGAGAGCCCCGGTCTGCAGTTAGACAAGGAGGGAACTGGGTCAGACCCGCCCGCGCTGGTGTCCGGTTGGTCTGACTGTGGGCAGCTCGTGCATGTCCTGTGCATATAACGCTCCCATTCCTGTATCCGTGGCTTCAGCCCCATCTGTACTGCACCGTGTGTTGGGGCCTCCTGGGTCACCACTCAGCGCCTCCGTCACCTGGTGCCCGTTTCCTCGACATCATTCTGTAGTTGAACAAACTGAAGCCCAGGAAGGCTAGATCCCGCCAAGGCTGCACAGAAGCCAGGTGTGGAGCGTGTGCTTCCCCCTCCCCCCGCCCGCCATGTCACTCCTGTGTGTCCAAGTGAACCGGGAGGGGCCAAGAAGGAGGAGGAGTCCCACTGGTCACCTGCGAAGCTGCTTACCTCAGGAGACTGGGACAATGGCAAGGCAGCAGAGGGCTACACCCCAGAGCAGGACCAGGTCCCAAAGCCGTTTCTTCTGCGGGGTGGACCTCTTCATGGGGTGGCCTCACATCCTGCCCCCATGTGAGGCTAGACCTTTCCTCCTCCATCTTTCCACAGAGGGGACAAGCCAGCCTGCCTCTGGCTTCCTGCTCCACCAACACCCGGTGATGAGTCAGACCATCAGCCTGTCCCTCCTCCACCACTTCCTGCCTGCCCCACACCCTGCCTCTGTCCAGGGAGGTGCCACCAGAGCTGCCAGCTGTGGGAACTGGCTCCGATGGGATGGCCGTTAGAGCTGCCCAGGGCGAGAGCCCAGCCATTGGCCTAGGACAGCAGAAGGGACCAGTGTTGGGAGGTGGGGTCCTGCTCTGCCCCCAGGCCGGTAGCCACGGCAGCCATTCTCCTTCGCGGGCTGGTCTCCAGGATCACATGCAGGCTGGTGAGAGCAGGGCTCTCCAAGAGGGTCCTAGAGCCAGAGCTTGTTCTCTGGTATCCCTGGAGAGGTTTTCAGAGTGCAGGTCCTCCGTCCTCACCAACACCACAGAGCCAGAGCTCAGGGCGGCCCTGCGTCTGTGATACAGAAGGCCAGCCGACAGCCATTAGGCTGCCCGACCTCGGGGAGCCCATCCCTCTTTGACTCGCTCATTGAGAAGGCAGCCGGGCTCCCACGGAGCTTGCCTGGTTCTGAGCTGCTGACCCTGGGCGCACCTAACCGCAGTGCCTGGGTCTCCTCATCTCCACCTCCGAGCTCTGCTGACCCTTCCTGTGCCTTGCAGCCTTCTACACTGCCAAGTATGGCTACAAGCTGTGCCTGCGGCTGTACCTGAATGGGGACGGCACTGGGAAGAGGACCCACCTGTCACTCTTCATCGTGATCATGAGGGGGGAGTACGATGCTCTGCTGTCCTGGCCTTTCCGGAACAAGGTATGGGCCTGGGCAAATGTGGGGGGAAGGGCAGACGACCTGTTTAGCCATGAACTGGCCGAGTGACCTGGGCACGTCCCCACCCCCTGTGTTTCCAGTTCCCCCTATTTTAAAACAAGAAGCTGAGTTTGGATCTAGTCAAGGCTCCCTCCAGCCCCTGAGCCCAGCAGCTAAAATGTCCAGAACATGGAGTTCCCGAAGGGCAGGCGTGTGCAAGTGGAATTCACAGGGTGGCCTGATAAGGAAAACGTCCAGGGGGAGGTGCTCTGAGGCTAGGACGGAGTTAAGATGACCAAAATCCAGAACACTGACACCACCACATGCAGGGGAGCCCATGCCGTGCTGGTGGGAATGCAGAATGGCGCGGCCACTTTGGAAGACAGTATGATAGTTTCTTAAAAAGTTAGCATGCTCTTGCCCCGCGATCCCCGAGTCATGCTCCTCGGTGTCTGCCCAGAGGAGGTGAAAACATGTCCCGGACGTTCATAGCACCTTTATACCTAACTGCTGACACTTAGAAACAAGCAGGGCACCCTTCAGTGGGAGAACAGGCCAGCTGTGCCTATCCACACAGTAAAGCATTGCTCCGTGTGCGTGCGCTGTCAAGCCACGGAAGGACGTGGAAGCCTAAGTGCATGTTGCTATTCAAAGAAGCCAGTCTTGAAAAGCCAGTCGTACTGTCGGATCCCCACTGTGGGTCATGAAGACAGGAAAAAAGATCTGTGGTTTCCGGTCAGTAGGGGAGAAAAAGGAAGAAAGAGATGGAGCCCAGAGGATTTTTGAGGCCCACAAAACTATTCCATATGATACTGTGATGATGGACACACATCCTCTACATTCTCAAAACCCACAGAATGCACCACACCAAGAGTAAACCCTAATGTGAACCACGGGCTCTGGTGGCCAACAGGTGCTCGAACACGTTCATCTTTGGTAGCGGGTGCACCTCTCTGGGGCAGGGTCTTGATAGTGGGAGAGGTGCCGGTACGGTGCTGGGGATGAAAAATCTCTGCACTTTCCACTCAGTTTTGCTGGGAACTTAAAACTGCTCTAAATAATAGTCTATTAAAAATGTTTAGGGCTGGGATTGTGGCTCAGCGATAGAGCACTCGCCTAGCACGGGCGGGACCTGGGTTCGATCCTCAGCACCAAATAAAAATAAAGGCATTGTGTTGGTCCATCTACACCTAAAAAATAAATTTTAAAAAAATGTGTAAAGGAGAGTCAGGAGAGGCTGGGTATCCCGGCAAGTGAACAGCAGCATCTAGTGAGGGGAGGTGTCAAGGCTGCAGAGCTCATCTGGGGTGGGGAGCAACCAGGTGGGTCAGTAAGCAGTGGTTCCCAAAGCTACTGCGGACGCTTTTTAAAAACACCAGCACTGAGACTCGCTCCAGCAAGTGGTAAGTGCTGAGCATCAGGACGGTTAACCCGCCCCAAAGGGATTCTAACCTGCAGCCAAGTTAAAGAACTACTTCAGTAGGAGAAGCAGCTTCAGTTCCCGACAAACATTTCAGGGACATGTGCCAGGGAGAGAGGTTCATCTGCTTCTTAGGAGAGCACACATCTGCTCTGTGAATACCAGAATTCAGGTCAGTGTCACCGGGCTTTGGTTGACAGCCCTGTCTGTTCCTGCCTCTCTGCTTGGACCCAGAGGTTCCAGCTGTGGTTGATGAGTCAGAAGTTTCTGAGCCAAAGGGCACATTTAGGATACTGAGTCCAGCCTCCTGCCCCACCTTCAGCCCCCAACGGCCCAGTAAACCTGACTGTGGCATTGGGACACCCTCCAGCCTGCCTGCTGGGTGGGACAGCTGATCCTAATCCTAGGACAGTCCCTGAATCTACCCAAAATACCAGGTGCTTCCGTTTATGGGGGTCATGCAGTACCCTGAGTGTGTCCTTACATGGTTTCCTTGACTCTAGTCAGACCCAGCTAAGTGTCACTGGGGCCACACAGGCAACGGGCACGGAGCCCTCCACTGCCGCAGTCTGGCTGGGCCTTGGCTGTGGCCCTCAACACTCCACCCGGGCCTCCAAGCCCCCCACCTGGGCCTCCGAGCCCCAATGCTGCCCAGGCCTGATCTCTCACCTGTCCCTGCCCTGAAGGTCACCTTCATGCTGCTGGACCAGAACAACCGTGAACATGCCATTGACGCCTTCCGGCCCGACCTGAGCTCAGCGTCCTTCCAGCGGCCTCAGAGTGAAACCAACGTGGCCAGCGGCTGCCCGCTCTTCTTCCCCCTCAACAGGCTGCATTCGCCCAAGCACGCCTACGTGAAGGACGACACCATGTTCCTCAAGTGCATCGTGGAGACCAGTGCTTAGGGCAGGGGGGGCCCCTGAGGGAGGACCAGCTGAGACTGGGGGCCTGGCACTCACCACCCCGGGACACAGGATGGGCCCAGACTGACATGATCTGTGCAGGACCGGCAGGTTCACTGTGACCGCTGTCAGGATGGCGTGACCTTGGGCTGGGCCCGTACAGGCAGAGGACTAAAGGAGGCGGGCGGGGTGCTCCCATCCTTGCAGCCCGTGCAACACTGGTAGGCCCAGGAGTGGCTCCACCCTGAATGTTGATGCACCCCGAAGGGCGCCCAGTGAGCCTGAGCAGAGAAGCTTGCAGGATAGGAGGTCTCTGCAGGGCCCCAGTGGAGAACTGGCCACACGCTGTCTCCCTGCTCAGGGCCAGAACAAGGACCAGGGGAAGTGGCAGGAGCCAATGTGGGTTCAGTCTGTCCAGACCTGGACTGAGGCCCTCGTCACCGGAGGACCACGTGAGGGAAAGGGCATCAGCCTGGAGGCTGCATTTGTGGACCTTTAATGTTTCTTAGAGCCAAGGAAGCCCCATTCCACACCTGCTGGCCCAGGGTAGCCTAGTGCCTCAGGGACCCCTGGGACATTCAGGAGCCTCCCACCCTTGGGTCCCTCCCTCACCTTCAGTGCCACCAGGCAGGCTGAGCTGGCCCACACCTCCCCCTCCCCTGGGGCCTGGAAGCTCGGTTTCCCCTGTGAGCAGACACAGCCCCTGTGTCTGGTGTCTCCACCAGCCAGAGCCCCCCTTCCCTTCATCCAGATAAGACCAGGTCACTGCAGGCTCCGGGGAGCAGCCGTTGAACGTGGAGAAGGGCAGGGGGCAGAGACCGCTTTCCACTTCCCCTGCCTGGAGGCCCCCGTTGTGGGGCTTTCCAGAATCCTGTGTCCAGTTCACTATCCAAGTTATTCACTTCTCAGGTTTGACTAATCGGGACCGCTGGGCACCGGGCAGAGGTTGACCTTTTAAATATGTATAACAACCAAAGAAAGAATGTTTTTTCAAATCTCTTTGAGGATTTCATCCAGTATACAGTCGTGGTCATCCCAAGCCACACTTGAGAAGGCCGTCACTGAGCTGGAGGTGGTATGGCCAGTTTTGCGGGTGGCATCAGAGGCCACTGTGCCACAGGCACATTCCCCCTCGGCCTCAGTCTTCTCCTTTCTGTAATGGGGAGACCCTCCCCAGCCTGCCTCCCATGGTGGGTTTTGTGATAATGCTCAAGGGAGGTGACACACAGGAGGGGCTGGAGAGAGGAGCCCCTGCAGCTTCCTGCCTGTCACAGTGGTTGGTGGCCCTTGCTTGTTTTCTCGCCTCCCAGGGGCCCTGAGACTTCCCATGCCACTTAGGGCATCAGGTCAGGCCCTGACCCCTCACCCCTGCAGCCTCCCGATGGCTTACTGGGGCCGCGATTGACTTCAATCCTCAGGGCTTCGGGTTCTCATCTGTGAAATGGGTCATTTGCCTGCCTGTTTCCCCTAGCGCAGGGTCTGGGAGATCAAAAGACCTGACAAGAACAATTTTAGGGGAGGAAAAGCGTATTTGGCGCTGTTGGTTTCAGAGGTCTCAGCTCCGTCCTCTGCCCGAGGTGACGCAGAGTATCATGGTGGAGGAGAGCATCTCAGGACATGGCAGCAGGAAGCAGAGAGAGAGAGACTACTCTGCTCACCAGGGACAAAATATATACGCCAATGGCATGTCCCCAATGCCCCACCTCCTCCATCCACACCCCCTGCCTACAGTGGCCACCCAGTTAACCCATTCAGGTGGATTAACACACTGATTAGCTTAAGGCTCTCCTATCCCAATCCCTTCACCTCTGAATGCCTCACTGTTGTCTAACACTTGAGCTTTGGGGGACCACCTCATAGCTGAGCCGAGGCACGGGCATCCGGGTAGGTAAGGTAAAAGCTTCTCTCTTGCTTGTCCTCCCTGGAGAGTTACCTGTCTGTCCCCATGCACATCTGGTGGGGGTGAGGGCAGCCTCACGGCCATCAGAGTGTTCAGTGTCCAGAGACTCCGTCCTCTCTGCTTGGACTTGGCCAGTCGCCTGCCATCTCTAGACTCCACTGTGGACGGTGGGCGGTGGCAGATGCAGGCCAGTTGCACTGACCTCGCTGGAGTCTGGGCACTGTCTGCTGGACTGAGGGAGGCTTCTTGCCACTGGGAGTGTTGGTGGGGTCTTTGCTCCGCCCAGGCCCCTGTATCTTGGGGAGCTTAGGATCTGGCCCTGCCTGCCCTCACAGGGCCACTGGTCAACATCCTCACAGCCCATGGCTCTGTTCCTGGGGTCAGGATGTGCAGATCACTTGAGACCTTATCCCCAGCCTCAGCCTGGCGTCTGGTCGAGATTGAATGCGTTGGAGTCCAGTTTTGGTGCTGGCTCTGTTACTTAGCATCCTCGGGCAAGTTATGTAACTTCTCTAGGCCTCAGTTCCTCATCTGTAAAATGGTGCTAGTAACTTCACCCTTACAGGGGTGTTGAGGAGTTGAAGTCAGGCAGTGCACGGCAAGAATTGGTAGAGGTGGCTTGGTGAGCTTTCTAAATGGCATCTACTGTTACTTCCACGGCCACTGGTACCAGTTCAACCCTTGGCCTTCAGCCCACTGATGGGAGCCAGAAATCAAGACCATAACACCCCCCTTCCCAATGGTCTGGCTCTGCCTCCCAATCCCTGCTGACCTCAGGCTGGTCCTTCCCCTTGCAGGGCCTTGGCCACCCGCCTAGATGTAAGAGGGTAGGAACCACAACCTCTTCACCCCAGGCCACAAGAAATGGCCCAGAGCCAGACATTCAGGAAGCAGTGACTAAGGGCTATTCCACAGGCTGGGCACCCAGTCCCTCGGAAGTTGATTCTGCAAAGCCCTGATCTGCAGCTGGCCAAGAGGGAGTAGATGCCCCACCCCCTGGGCTGACGCTGCCTAATGGTGAGCTGAGTGGGCAATGTGCCCAGCGCTCCTTTTGGATTGCAATCAGGTGTTTTCAAAGCCCGTGTGGCCCTGGACCCTGTCCTTCTGCCCAAGGTCTCTTTGCAGGTCAGCCTAGGTTGGGGTGGAGCAGGAATGAAGGGGCGGGGGTTGGAGGGAAGGAAGGACCTGACAGAGACAGAGCTCCCCTCCTGCTCCTGTCTGGCTCCTGCCAGTGGCTGGCCCTGTTCATAAGTGTGGATGACACTTTGGCTCAGCAGTAATCTGTCTGGGGGCACCTGTGGAGACTGTGAAGTGAGCACCCAGAATCTCAGGCCTGGGGGAGCCTGCAGAGAGTCTCTCACTCCAGCCACCTGCCCACTGGGAGCTGGGCACAGGGAAGGTGCACGAGGAGCTCAGGGGAGCCAGCACCAGGCCCCAGGCTCAGTCTTCTCCCAAGTCTCAAAAGGCTCTGGCCTGATCCTGTGCCCCCGACAGACCACCTCACTGCCCCACAGGAAGAGCAGAGCTGGGGGAGGGCTGAGCCTTGGGCAGGACGTTTGCCAGGACGGAAAGCCTGCTAGCTGCTGTCCCCAAGGCTTTCTAGAAGAAGGCAGGGGACAAAAAGTCTCTGTGGGCTTTGCAGGCACCTAAGGTTCTCCAACCCGTCCAGGGCACTGCAGGCCAGGCAACCGGGGTGCAGTAGTTCTCGCCCCTAAAGGCAGATCGGCCTTGGCTAAGCCATAGCTCCAGTGTCGGGTGTCTCTGTGACCCTTTTTACACAGCGCTCCATTTCTGTCCCTGTTCGCCTTTTTGCCATGGGGCAGGGAACCAAAGCTTAGAGAGGGCACGGGGAATGTGGCAAGGTGGACCCGGCTGGACTGTCAACTCACTGGGAACCTCTGGCAAGCTCTTCTTCACTCTGGGCCTCAGTTTTCCCATCTGTAAAATGAAGCAGGTGAACCATATGGTCCCTGGGGCCCCTCCTTGAACTGAGGTCTTTTGCATGGGGCAGCAGCACCCCTAACCTGCCACTAGACCCCCTTTATAGATAAATAGTACCTTCACACTGGTAGCTCAGTGCAGATTAGCCTAGGCAGGGAACACTCTCCCCTCAGCCTCCAGATGAAGCGCAGCCCTGCAGGCACCTTGACTTGGGCCCCATAAGTCTCATGTCAGATTTCTGACCTCTGGAACTATGAGAATAGATTGTTACAGGTTTAAGCCCCTAAGTTTGTGGTCCTGTTACAGCAGCCACGGAACACTGATGCCCATGGCAAACTGTGGCTACACCAAATTGAGATGGCGTAAGTCTAAAACACACAAAAGATTTGGAGGACTCCATAGAAAAGAGGATTTAACTTATTGTTTATTTTTTATATTGATGGCATGCTGAAATGATAAAAATTTTGACAGATTAAATATATTATTGACATTACCTTCACCTGTTTGTTTGTTTTTTTTAACTTGCCTTCTAGAAAACTTAGAATTACATCTGTAGCCACTGGACAGCATTAAGGGTCTTTCTCATTGGCTCAGCCAGGAGGAGCAGTGTTCTGCAGCCAGCTCTGTTGGAACTGAGGATAGGGACCTTCCCTAGGAAAGGAATTCCCCCCGTCCCTACACCCACTGCAGGTGAAGAGTCCTGCTCCCTACCCCCTCTCCTTCACTCCCATCTGCGTCTGGATCAGGCCATGTCCTTCCAAGATGTGACAGCTATTTTTAGTGCTCACAGCCTCAGCACAGCTGATTTTGAAGCTTGCTGGATGTGCGCCAGCTCTGGGATTTCCATCTCCCTGCTAATGGGGGTCTTGGGAGAACCTGATTCCATAGCCTGGAGCCTTCCAGGGCCTGTGAGCAAGCTCCCAACACCCTGGAGGTATAGATGATCTTAAGCCACATGCTTTCAGATGATAGAATCAAGGCAGAAAGGTCTGTGCAAGCCAGGAGGTGGCTGAGCTGGGCTTGGAAGCAAGGTGTTCTAGACTGAGGCTTCCTCCAACATTTCCCAGTGGCTGGGGCTGTGGGTGCTGCCCACTTAACTCTGAATGATTACCAGTCTCACATAGGCTTTCTAAGGGGGTGTTCTATGCCTTGGAAAGTATTCTTCATGTGTGCATGATGCTGGAGATTGAACCCAGGGCCTCTCACAGGCTAAGCATGCGCTCTGCCACCGAGCTACACCCCAGCCTTAGGAAAGCATTCTAAGTGGGACAAGAGCAAGCAATTGATTTGGTGGGTGGGTAGATGAGACTTGGCTTCAGGTTGTACAACCCAACATCTCCAGTTGAAGTGAGTCAGAATAATAAAACGGATCCATACAAACATAATATCTACCCAAAGCCAGGGTTGCCTGGTTGTGGTTCAGAACCCGAGCCCTGGCACTGGGAAGACCTGGGTTCCCATTCTTGTCTCATCTCCAGCACTCCCTGGCTTGGCTCCTCTAAGCCTCTGTCTCCTCCACTACACCACTGGCTTGACAGTGGTTAGAGGATGAAATGAGATCTTGGACAGAAGCGCTTAGCACTGCATCTGTGCTAGCGAGTTCTCAGTAAATACGAGCTATCGTGGGGCCGAGGGTGCAATTCAGTGCAGACCACTTGCCCAGCAAATGCAAGGCCCTGGGGTTGATCCCGGCACCACAGGAAAAATCAACTCACAAAACAACTCACGGGGGGGAGCTGCTGATACTAATGAATTTCACAGATAGAGAAACTGAGGCTAAAGGAAGTGAGGTCACTCTTCAAGGTCACATGGCTGAGGAGTTTGGGGGTAACAACTTTAGGAACATGTAACCCCATACACCATGTGATTCACTCCCCTACAGTGTACATTGAGGCATGAGGTGTGTTCATAGAGTTCTACACCCAACACCGCACAATCGATTTAGCTCCAGGGTATGCAGCCAACATTTCCAAATGAAACGGGTCTGAATAATAAAAAAAAGATTCATACAAACACAGAAACTAGATTAAAACCAGGATTACCTCATAGTTAAGACCCAAGTGCTAGTATCAGGAAGACCTGACTTCCCATCCCTGCCTCATCATTCAGAGCCAAATGATTTCATAAATACCCAGAGAAAGAAACCCTGTACCCTTACCAGAATCCCCCACCCCCCCCCACACACAGCCCAGCCCCAGCCCCAGGCGACCACCAAGCTATTCTGTGGCTCTATAGATTTGCCTATTCTGCACATTCTTTCACTTTTCATGATGTTCTCAAAGGTTCATCCATGCTGTGGTGTATATCTGTACATGATTCCTTTTATTGCTGAATAAAATGCACTGGGGGGATAAGCCACCTTTACCCTTTCATTCATATATTCTTTATTCAATTTGGCCATTCATGGACATATAGATTGCTTCCATCTTTTGCTTGATATAAATACTGCTGCTGTGAATATCAGTGTTCAAGTTCACATGCACACCTGTGTTTTCAGTGCTCTTGGGCACGTACCTAGGAACGGAATTGTTGGTTAGCTGGAAACTCCATGTTGAGCCCTTTGAGCTACTGCCACACTGCTCTCCAAGGCGGCTGCACCTTTCCTTATTGCCACCGCCGGTAGCCTGGGTTTGAAATTCAGTGCTACCCACTGGGTTAAAGTTCTCTCTCTTTTTCTCTTCCTGCCTCTCTCTCTACCTCTTTCTTTGGTATGAGAAAGAGCTGTGAGCTGGGCATGGTGGTGCATGTCTATCATCCCAGCTACTTGGGAGGCTAAGAAGGAGAATCACATGTTCAAGGCCAGCCTCAGAAACTTAGTGAGACCCTATCTCAAAATAAAAATAAATAAATAAATAAAAAGGACTGGGATTGAAGCTCTGTGGTAAAGCTCCCCTAGGTTTAATTCCCAGTACTATGCGCACGCGTGCGCGCGCGCGCGCGCACACACACACACACACACACACACACACACACACACGAGCTGTAAGATGGGACACAAAGAAATGCTGATGTGAACCCTGTCTCCTGCTCCCTTAAAAGAAGGCAGGAGATGGACGTTCTGTTCATGTTTTTTAAGGGACAAATATGTGCAGAGGGTTACATGTCTGTAGAGTGGGTAGCAGCTATGCCCCCTTATAGGGTTGGTACAGGATTTGATGAATTAATCCACATAAAGCACTTCAAACCTGCCCAACCCAGTGAACGCTTGCCAGATCTTAGTCACTACTGTTACGCCCTTGGACCTTCCTAAGCGCCCAATGCCTGGAGCAGTGGACATCAGATAAATGTGTTTGTTTGTTTGGTTCTTGGGGACAGAACCCAGGGCCTCACAGGCTAACGCCCTGCCCGAGCTACACCCCCAGCCCTCAGTACAGTGGATGTGATAACACTGATAGTGAGTGGCACTGCCAGGCTCCCGTCCACAGCCCTGTTTTTAAAGCCTGGAAAGTAATGCCCAGAGAGCTGAGGACACGCTCAGGGTTAAGCTGTCACATCAAGAGGCTGTGAAAGAAATCCAGGTTCCCTGATGTAAAAGTGTGTCTTGCTGGGTCCGGGGTACACCTGGCTAGCCCCTTACTGACTCCTGTCTCAGGATGGTACCGCCCACCCCCAGGCCAAGCCTAAGTCGGGATTCTGGTCCCCTCCTGGGCTCAGGCTGCCTCCCTCAGTCCCCTGTGCATCACGGTGGCCTGAGGAGATAGAACCTTTGTCCACATACTGGTTAATTTTGTGTGTCAGCTTGGCGAGTTTATGTCTCCAATTATTCAATCCAATTATCATCTAGATGTCGCTATGAAAGTATTTTGTAGATGCAATTAATGTTCGTAATTAATTGACTTTCAGTAAAGGAGATTCCTGGTTGGGCTGGGAGGCCTGATTCAGTTGGTTTTCAGGCATTGTGAATGGAACTGAGGTTTCCCTAGAGAAGAAAGTCCCCTGTGGGCAGGGTGTCAGCTCCTGCCTGAGAGTACCCCCTTCCCTGCCGATGCCTGCCCTGGGGGTGTCCCAATGATCTGGCCAGGCCCCTCCATCACATCAGTCAATTCCTTACAATAAATCAATCCAACAGAGAGTGTGCAAGTCTTATTCGCAGTTTCAAACAAGATGCTGTTTTCAAAGTATCAGTTTATTTTAAAATGGACAAAATAGAGAATAATTTAAAATAAGGTAAAGTAAGGTACATTTCATGGGAAATAAATGGTACTTCAACAAAGTCATCCAAATAACTACATATTAAAGTGCCATTGTATCTGTCACATAAAAGCAACACTGGAAATCACTGGCTCCTCTGTGAGGCCACGGTGCTCCCTTGAACTTGAAGCTCAAAGCCCTCTAAGAAGGTGGCAGGGAGAGTTTACTGGAGGTTTCTATGCTTTGTTTCTCTAAGGGAACAGTTCCTTGCTTTGTGAGTCTTAGAGACTCTGGGATTCCAGGGAGGAAATCACCCAGGAGGCCAGGGTGGATTCCAGCTTGGGCAGGGACCCCCTCCCTTTGGGACTTGCACACAAGGAGCCCTGGACCTGGAGTCCTTGGCCCTGGATTCAGATGCTGACCTGCTCCTTGGATCTGAGCCCCACTCTCATCTTGGGCAAGTTTGGAGAGAAAAGTCCCCCCCCCCCCCGCCCCAGCAGGGCACTAAGGAAGGCGATTTGGGTATGCCCTGGGGCCCTGCTAAGCATCCATGCCTGCAACTGTAGGCATCAGATAAATGTGTTTGCTTGTTTGGTTCTTGGGGACAGAACCCAGGGCCTCACAGGCTGAGAGAGACCCAGAGAGCTGAGGGGACTCCTATAAGGAAAGTCCTGTCCTCGGGAGTGTTGACTGAGGCTGAGCCTCTGCCCTGTGTCTGGTGTGTTCAGGGGCAGAATCCCTCTAACCCTTCCACCAGCGAGGCGTCCATTCCGCCTTCACCCTTCAGGTCCTTCGGGGCCTCCCGCAGGCCCAGCGCTGCGCTCCTGGAGCGCTCAGCTGGTGAAGAGACGCGCACAGCTCCATCTCCCATCTCCGCAGGCAGGAACGCTCCTAGGGCTAAGGGAGAGGGCTGCTTGACCGAGTCACCCCTACCATAAGGTCCGCAGGGTCTGGTCCTTGCTGCACGCAGCAGGACAGCATGGAACTGCACTTGACTTCAAAAGCGCGCTTCTGCTCTCGAAGGCGCCTATTCTGGATCGCACCGGCCACTGCAAGCACCCCGCCCCCGCGCCGGGCGGATAAGGGGCCCCGAAGGAGCTCCCTGCACCCAGCTGGGCCACCCCGGCTCCCTCGGCCCCACCAGCGAGCCGATCAGTGCTGAGGGCGTCGATCAGTGCTGAGGGCGTCGGGAAGCGCCTATCCTGTGCGCTGGCCCTCACCAGCCCTGGGGACTGGGAAGTGGCCTGGAGAGAAGGGGCCAGGTCACCCGGGGTGGGGGTGGGGGCTGAATCCCTAGGATCCCGTTGTGATGCTGAAGAAAAGTAATGGAACATTTAAGCCTCCGTGGCAGGCAGGGCCCCA